CAGTCTCAAATCTGGACTCTCAGTTGGGAAGTGTTTATCGTCATGTCAGAGCGAAGCGGACGTTAAGCGCTTTGATGGCACGCTGTTAGGGCAGGCGCGTGGCCTTGGAAATGCTGCAGGCATTGACTAGCACCTTTTCTCGTTTCTTTTTTAGAGCTTTAAGTTTCTGAGAGACTGATGGCAATATGACCTGCTAAATTTAAGGGTTGGAACTCTTGGTTCTAGAACTCCTGTCTGATTTCTTTTCTTTTTGTTTTTTTCTCCTCCTTTTCAAGTGAGCAACAATATGACTGTCTAAAGCATGCCTTATTTAGCCTCTCCTGTCAGGATGACCTAGCCAGATAAATTTTAATACTGCTTCAGTGTAGAAGGTGTAAAACTATTTTGGGCTTGATGTGCTGTGAATGTTGTTTTTTTTTTTTTTTTTTTTTCTCCTCCTAAATATATTTAAACAGTAGAAGTAGTAAGCCGGTTCACGCATGCGCCATTTTTTACTTCCTGTAGCTGTTAAAATTGGCAAAGCTCTAAAGCGCACTGCTGCCATCTCGTGATACTTTTTGTAAAGTACAGCAAAACTTAAAAATATATACAGTATATATTTATATTTTGGGGGAGGGGGAAAACCAAAATACAGTAATTGTGTTTCATTTTTAAGCTGCTGATATTCATTCCTTACTGTATGTCTGAAAGATGAGAGAATTCTACTGTTCTGGTACTTAGAGAAGTAATATAAATTGAAATTATCTTAAGGGCTTAACCTATATAGAGAGACTCGGGTGTCCTGTAATCAGACTTCAAAGGCTGGAATGGTTCAACGTGGTGGTGGAATGCAGTTGGAAACAAACAAAACTTCAGTTTATAAATATATATATATGATTGCTTTTTAAGTGATTATTTTTTTTGTTAACTCATGTAAATTCTCAAATCCTTTTGCACTGATGTGTTCAACATATTCTTGTACATTCAATTCAGGCAAACTTTTATAATTTTCTTTTTTGTTTAAATGATGAAATGTTACAGCATGGTGATATTCTATGCAACTAGTTACACTCTTTAGTTTGACACTGTAATTTCTCATGGTTTAAAGATTGTAGAAATAGACCTAACAGGGTTCTCATGACGTGCGTAACTGTAGGTGCATGAACTTGTGTTCTGTGTATTTGCTGAAGTGCAATGATGTATAAAAAGTGGTTTCACCTGTTTTTAAAAATAAAACACTGACAAACAGAAAAGCGTAAGACTTTTTTTTCAGATCTTTAATGGCCCTTAAGCTTGTGCGTCCCGAGCGCTGGGTAGCCTGGAGCGTGTCTTCCAGCACTCATCAGCTGGCATTTCTCACCCTTCTGTGAGTTTTCTCAACTCCTTCTCCACGTCTTCCACGAAAGCTGGGAAGCTCTGATCCATAAGGCACAAGCGGATGAAGGGCCCCAGCTCCTCCGCTGGCCACACCGAATGCCGATACGCGAGGGGCAGCTCAAACTCCTTTTTCAGCACAGACAGCAAAAGTGAAAAAAAAAAAAAACACCAAAGCTGCTGCTGCGCTGATGGTGGACATAGAAGGTGAGGTTACACGGTCTGTCTAACAACGCAGCTGCGCCCAGGTTTTCCTTCGGTATTTAATAAAGATGCGTCTGCCTTGTTACTGCTGCGTGAATGCTTTCTGTCAGATAGGATTCTGTACGTAAGTTTTTCTATGGTACCAAGATTTGGTTCCAGTGTAGCTTTCATGCAACTTTGCATTTCTTTGCAGTTACTTAAATCGGAAATGCCAGTTCCCTGGGTAACGAGGCTTCCTCGTGACCACCCATTCTAAGAGGACCCTGTGTGAAGCGTGCGTACTGCCCCTCGAGCTGTGTAAGGATAAGTGTGCAGTTCTGAGCTCTTAATTTAGCAAGATGTCTTTTAGAGAGTAAATGATGGGCCTTTTAAGAGTTAAAACGTGCTTCTCATGCCCATTTAACACCCCACCACACACATTTTTTTCCCGGGGTGGTGAGCATGCTGCGTGCATCATGTCGCTCGCAGCAGAGCGGAAGATGTACAGTGTGGCGCGCGGGGGGCAAGGCAGCCCCGGGTGCCTCCCAGCACCTGTCAGCGAAGCCGCTTGCCTCCAGCAGATTCGCTGGAGAAACGCACAAGCCCAGCAGACTGCCAGGTTATCGGGCAACTCCCGAGCACTTTACATGCTGCGGCAACGACGAGCTGAAGCAGCGCAACTCAAAACTCACTGTGGCGGGCTGCCGGTGTCCCTGCTGGAGGTGAGCCACGCTAAGGAAATGGTAGCTGCACGGTCCCAAGGCCAGGGCTGCTGCTGGTTGTACACCACATTATTTGTGAGTTAATGACTGTTTGTACCAAAATGTTTCTGTCACTTGGGCTGCAGATGAGGTACAGCCCTTGCCACCTTTTAACTTTCTTTACCCAATGGTGCTGAAGTCGTCAAAGCTGCAGCAGCAGTTACGGGGATGCTTTCTGGCTACTTTGCATGGGAGAGCAGAAATGAAGAAAATCCCTGTGATGTCATGATGAGGTAGGTACGGTGTGCAGAGGCCATCCAAGGCAAACGGCGTCACTACAGGGGCAAGGCCTAACGCTAGTCAGTCTGCATCTGGCTTTAAAAAACTTCAGCCACCAAGCCTGGCCCAGGCTGAAGCAAGACCCTCCGTCCGGGAAAGGCAGAGCTGCTGCTAACTCGTCAGGTCCCCGCTTCAACCTGAAACAGCGCAGGACAGCTGGCAGCTGGAGTGCAGCCACGTTGAACTTGGGGGGGGGAAAAAGAACCCCAACCCCTCATATTTTTGCTACTCATAGTGTTGGGTCATATTGCGGTATTGTTCTTTTCCTGGTGGGGAAAAATATTTTTAAAGATTGAGTATCTTTTTAAAAACACCTGCAAGAGAATGCTTAAAACCAAGGCTCCTGCTAGCTTCCTGAGGTGGTGGGAATGGGGAAATTTAACTCTGGAACGTTACAGAGCACCAGTGGACAGGTGTAGATGATGGCAAATGTTGTACGGCAGGCGTCTGGGCCAGGGCCTGGGAGCTCCCAGCTCAGAGCAGAGGTGTGTCAAGGGGCGGGTAGAGGAGGAGGTAGGAAACTACTACAGCGAGGAGTCATCTTGTGCGGGGGAATGTGTTACCAGCAATTCAGGTGAGAGATGGGTTGGTGTGTGCAGCAAATACTGGTCTCGCCAGCAGAAAGCTTTGTGCAGATGCAGGTATTGCGCGTTTGTCTTGGGGACCAAAACCCAGCAGTTTTTAGAAGGCAAGTTCTTTTTGTATAATGTTGGTGTTAATTTACATTTCCTAGTGCTGCCTCTTAAAGCAGAGATTGGTCCCAAAAAATACAGGTGCTAAAGGCAAACTGCCTTGTTTGATTGCTCTTGCTTGCTGTTTTACAAAGACAGCAACAAAACCGCTGGGAATGAAGCGGCCCGGTCTGCAACACAGCCCTCTCCCCTGAGAGGAGAGTCCAGGGGATTCTGCGCTCTCAAAGCAGAGGTGTTCAAAGGGCTTTTTTGGGTTTGAGAGGACCAGTTTGTAATAAGGGACAGTTCCTACACTCCACTGATGTGGAGAAACATTTGACTTGATCATCCTATGACCATAGAAAAAGGGTAAGAAAGACCCATGGAGGCAAGTGCGCAGAAGCCGAGGTTGGAAGCAATGGAGTTTTCTCCTCAGTCACCTGATCCTGTACAGTCCCAAATTCACGTTAAACAAGCAATAGTTAACTTCCAGCTATTTTCAAACACAGCTTTACCCTGGACTTCTCAGTGAAGCTGTCAATTGAATTATGGGATCTTTTGCAGTGGGTCAAGGATGACTGATGTTTTCAGACTTAAGTAAGAGTAACAAAGCCATTTATTTGGACGTGACCTCTGGGTATTTGTTTCTCTTGTGTGTGGTTTGTTCTCATGCAAATGGGGTAATTACAAATGGGTTAATTACACCACGAAGTACCTGGTTTTGCAGCTTGCTTCCTAGCTGCAGATCATTAGACAAGATCCCGTGGTTTTTGTTGGTGTAGATGATGGCATCCTGATGTTCAGTGAAGGCATTTACCAGAGGTTTACAGCATATGAGATAGCTTGTGCTCTCTCCATGCCCAAGAGATTCGGTTACAGGATCTAAATATTAGATTTTTTTTTTTTATTTTTTTTTTTTTACTGTGCTAGCTGTGTTACAGATCTTCTTTCTCCAAGGCTTGTGCAGCAATCTGGTAGGGGCTCATCTGGCTAGAAAATATCAAATGCAAATAAGGGCTTGTTACCAAGCAGAGTGTGGGTATGCGCAAGAAGGGAAGCAGTTCCATTTTTAGAGTTAACGGGAAGAGAGTGTGCTCGGCTACCTCATGCAGTAAAAAGGCTTCTTTTTATGGAACCTGAACGCACATCTGCTCAAGTCTCTAAAAATGAAAGACTTGAAATAATAGGCCTGTAGTTAAACTGTCATGTCTAAACTAAGATAACTTTTAAACTACTTACTGGAAGTAACTCTAAAAAATGCTGTGTCTGAATGCTCACTAGGAGCATGCTTTTTTCCTTCCCATGAGTCACATCACTCAAAAAATGGTTTAAGCTGTCCATTCTACTTTCTGGGCACAGTTTCTATCTTGCCTTCTGGAGCAAGAGCATCATTAATACCAACAGTGCAATGGTTGGTGTTCAATAGAATTCTGCCATTAAATACCTTTCATTGTTTGCTTTAGCTTATCAGGAAGTGAGCAAAGCCGAAAGTACAGGTAATGTGCTTGAGGAATAAACAATAAATCTTGAATATTAGCTGTTGAAGGTCTCCCATATGCGTTCCTGGAAATGGTGTGAGTCAAATTAGCAATATATTGGGTTTTTTCCCCCTGCACTTTCTCTACCAAATATGATTCCACTGTCCGGTAGAGTAGGATCATCTTAGATGATATCATGAAAATGATGTAGCTGAAAGCTTTGACATGCCTTTTTTAGGCCTCAGTTTTGGTCCCGATATTTTTATCACATACCCAAGAGCTATCCTGGCTAAGCTAGCTGCAGGGATGTTTTTTTAGAGCTGGTAAATGTGATCCTCTGGATACCCAAGAGAGCATATGTTTAAGAATTAGTCACCCTTAGAAACAGCATCTGCCTTTGCCTTTTGCATTTACCTTAGGTCTTGGAGAGGGGAAGCATTCTGTTCTTACCCTGAGATTGCTGTTAGACGTGTCAGGTCAAGCTCAAATTTATACAATTGCATGTTTACAATTATTAACACTGCAAAACAGGAGTAGGTAAACACAAAAAGAACACAGTTCATGGTTACTTAAATGTCTCCGATCATTTTTCTTACCCTGCATAACTTATGTGAAAGTCTGCCAGGTGGTTCCCCGCCGTCTAAGCTGAAAACCACACTGATGAAATTGTAGACATGTTTTTCTGGTAACTGGTCAGCTCTTGCCTTCTGCTCCCTATTCCTGTTTATTAACCTCGGCAGAAAGCATCTACATCTTCCACCAAACCATACCACCGCCATCCGATTGGGAACTGGTAAATAACCCTTCGCTGCAGCGTTTCCTGCCGTTTCTTTTAACGGTTAGCAACGTCCCATGTGTGCCTGAGCCCTGCATGAATTATCTTCATTTCCAGGCTCCCTAGCTAAGGAAAAGTTCAAACTCCAGAACAAAGCTTTTTTCCTCACCTATAAATCTCATTCCATACGCTTGCTAATAGTCATCCTATGATCCCATGAAATGTGTATATTAATTTTGATTATTAGTCACCTTGTGGAGGCCAAAACAAAGGCATCTGATGGCTCTGAGGTATATTACAATAAGCTTCAGGAGCTACAACCACTTTTTTGAGCATTGTTCTGTTAACTTCTTTTCAGGCGCACTAAGAAAATGGGAATATGCTGGCCAGCTTCAGCAGCTGACTTCCTGAATTACTCTAGCCCTATTCGCTAACTAGGTTTCCCTGCATGTAAACTGAATTTTAGGTATCCCAAATCGTATTTCGTATAGATGGTCTCATAGTTGCGAAAAATCTTTCTTCAGAAGTAAAATTTGTCATTTACAGATCTAACACTAATAGTCGATTAGTTTTCTGGTCTTCTGTCTGTGTGCTCTTGCTTACTTACTACGTGTAGTACTGATGCACTTTGTTCCATGTCCTTCACTTGATTTTCACCGTTAGCCAGCTGACTGAGACTGTGATAGAGCTGCTGGCTTTGTTCCTCCATTACTTGAACCGGTACGTACTCTGCAAGCTTCTGAACGCAATTGCAGCAGTGTTCCAGCATCTGTTCTTTTGAATCTCCACCGAACTGAACACGAAACATGCGGCATTCATTCTGCTCAAAAACCAAAGAGAAATTAAATTCACTCTGAATGTCCTCAAACTATTTTAATTAAACTCCTATTTGTTAAAGTTAGGAAGAAGGTGATAAATTTTTGGATCGCTGCACCAACCTAAAAACAAAGAAACAAGTTTTCCCTGATGTATCTTCATTTTGCCCAGCAGCTAAACCAGAAGACTATGATTCCCAGTTTGATAATCAGTTTAAAAAACGCAAGAAAATGGTGACTAGGGCCACTCGTCAGCTAATTAAAGGTCTATCCAGGTGAACAAAAGAGCAACTCTGCAGAGAGAGACCTGGGTGTGCTGGTGAATGAGAGGCTGACCATGAGCCAGCAGTGTGCCCTGGTTGCCAAGAAGGCCAATGGGATCCTGGGGTGCATCAAGAGGAGTGTGGCCAGCAGGTCGAGGGAGGTTCTCCTCCCCCTCTACTCAGCCCTAGTGAGGCCCCGTCTGGAGTGCTGTGTCCCATTCTGGGCTCCCCAGTTCAAGAAAGATGAGGAGCTACTGGAGAGAGTCAAGCGCAGGGCTACGAGGATGATGAGGTGACTGGAGTATCTCTGCTACGAGGAAAGGCTGAGGGAGTTGGGCTTGTTCAGCCTGGAGAAGAGAAGGCTGAGAGGGGACCTTTGAAATGCCTCTAAATATGTGCAAGGTGGGTGTCAGGAGGACGGGGCCAGACTCTTTTCAGTGGTGCCCAGCGACAGGACAAGGGGCAATGGGCACAAACTGAAGCAGAGGAAGTTCCAGCTGAAGATGAGGAAGAACTTGTTCACTCTGAGGGTGACGGAGCCCTGGAACAGGCTGCCCAGGGAGGCTGTGGAGTCTCCTTCTCTGGAGATATTCAAGACCCGCCTAGACAAGGTCCTGTGCAGCCTGCTGTAGATGACCCTGCTTCAGCAGGGGGGTTGGACTGGGTGACCCACAGAGGGCCCTTCCAACCCTGAACATTCTGTGATTCTGTGACAGAGTTTTTACACATGTAGCAGGGAAATTAAGTTCTTACTGTTGCTGCAAGTAGTATCCTATAAGGATATGCCATCTCATAGCAGTTATTTGTGACAAAAAACGAAATGACACTGAAGTAAGCAGAAGTTAACTTTGGAATGTAAACTAGAAGTTCTGGGAACTCTATGTTCTATTTAGGATTTCTGTTACTGCCTGCATCAGACCCAGCCTCACCTACCTACCTGTTCTGCCTGTGCCTGGCGAAGCATACAAAGTCAGTTTGGCACTGCAACTGAATGCTGCTGTTCCTTGAACAGATGCTAATACAGTTCCTTAGGAGTGCAAGAAACTCACATGCATTAATTTCAACAGTGAAATAACACTAAAAATAAAAAAAAATAATCTGAATGGAACTGACCTCCAGTAGAGGTTGCAGGGCTGTACCACAACAGATTTTTTTTTATTATTATTATTTGTAATTACAGAGGTCCAGCAAACTGCCCTGGAAATAGAGGGCTGAAGAGTCTGTCGTGCGTAATAAGCTTGTCCTAAGCACATTCAGCTGATGCAAGGCAGATAGACATTGAATGCTCTTGTTTAGGGAATGAATTAATAGGACTCTCAGTTTGATCTTGAAATTCAAAATCAAAAACGCAGTTAAAGTACTAGAAAAGAAGCAAATTTTCCTTGGACCAACCTAACTTCTTTGAGTTGTCATCTTTCCGAGAATCCAATGTCACCGTTTTTTTAATGACTAGACATGCTGCTAGACTGCTGCTGACACCAGTACAAAGACATCTTTCACTTCAAAGCTTTTTGTCTCAAAGATGAGCCAGCTCTTCATGACAACCTGTATGTTTACATGCATGTTATTTTAGGATGCTTGTATTGCATAAAATGATTTTTAGGGTACTGTAAGCATAAAAGCTTGTCTTGGTGCCTTTTAAAGGGAAAAAATGTCAAAATTCAAATGGTAGCAATAATTTTACCGGTGCCCAGTTACATTCCCTCTAATTAATTAGGATGTCAGCTTAACTGGGTCGGCTTCACATAACCAAGAACTGATTTGTGGGTATGTCAGACAGGTAAGTTCTCATTAAAATGACAGAAAGGTAACTTGCATCTTAATTGGAATTCCTTTTGGAGACTTTTGAAGAGCACTTGTTTTAGTTACCTCTACAGTCCCCAGACCCGTTTTCAGACTGAGCTATCTGTACTGCCCTCTGCTTTTTTACAAGGACTATTAAAATACTTAAGATTGCAGTTTATAAACAACAGTAGAGTTTAAATTAAGCGTTTTTTCCTTCATGGAAACAGAGAGTGTGCTCAAATTCAGCTGAGATGATGTCAAGTTTTAGCATAAACTGAGTACTGAGAGCTGAAGTATTAAAGCACCTTGGGGTCACTTGGATCATCAAATTTTCACCCATGCTGGGGCAGGGAGGCGAGCTCAGTGAAACCATGAGTCCTTATATTTAAACAACGCTTATTATGCCTCACATCTGCTTTTATCTTGCAATTAGCAAGGCATTCTCCCTTCTGCAAACTATACTGTTTGGTTTGTAACATTCTATAAAGAGGTATTTATGTGTCTTTCATAAAAGAAATCAGATAAAAGATTGAAATACAACTAAACAGGAATTTTTACAGTTTTCAGCTATTCTGGATATTGCTATTATCTGCAATTACAATAACCTACTCTGTACCAGAGCTCCTGCCAGGTGAGAATGCCAGAACATCTCAGAAGAGTTGAGATGTTTTTATGCCTTAAGAGTTCTGTGAACAGGGCAAAGAGTTAAAACTGGTCTCTAGCAGCTACTGAACAAGGGGCTCATCATCTCTTTCCAGAATTCCTGTTTCTAACTTGGAGATTAATTATCTTGTCAAGTAGAGATACTTAAACTACGAGGCAGCTGTTTCTGCTGAAACAACAAAGCCTAGGAACTACCAGGGCAGAAGGGAGAGCTATTTTCATTTTGAAACAGGCTTTGTTTCTGAAAAACCTGGCGACTGCTCAGTGCAGGTGAATAAGAAACTTGTCAGAGTTCATCTAAGAATCAAGAAAACTGAGGTTTATACATAAGCTGGTAACATGCAAGCGCCATTTAATTATTCAAAGGCTAACCAACCACTTTTCATGAGATCTGAGGGGAAGACCAGAAACCTAGGTCCCTCTCATTGCCTTGAATATCAAATACCTGAATCACCAGCCTGCCACTACAGAGGCCACAAAATGGCTAAATAATTGTTTGTTTAGCTACTGTGTTTGCCAAAGTGAAGTATGACTCACAGGTGGCATGCTTTGGTACGTGTAAGCGAATCGCTTCATCATTTTAGTTGTTAGCCATGGCAGATAGATTCTAAAATAAATAACAGTCTAGCTAACTGTCAGAAAGCAGTCTAAAACACCTGAATATTAGCAGTTACAAAAAACATTAAGATTCAATCCTTTCTTGTTTAATATCTAGAGTAAAAAAAAAAAAAGTCTTTTAACTTATATAGCCAATTTACAATATCTCAGAACTTCTGGTTTAATTTATCCAATGTTAGGAAATCTTATACAGAACTGTGTTAGCTATTAAAAGTATTAAAACCAGCTCAACTTACCTCTGACTGTGCACAAAGAAGCAGGCAGTCCGCTCTTCTTACTATCTTTAACCACTTGTGGGAATCAATTAATGAAAAGACTTCCTGAAATAAAGCAGAACACAAACGACTTGCACAGCAAATATGCAACACTCAGAAGTAAACGCTTAAGTTATGTAATGTAATCTCTAATGAAGATTAGTCATCTGTCATACGTGCAACTTCTGTATCTGTCAAACAACTGCCAGCATGTAATTTTTACCACATTAGGAATTAAAACCTGGTAGCTCCAGTAACAACGCTATGTCAAGGTACATTCTCATTTCCGTATGTATTTTACATTTATATTTGTGCATGTTATGAAAGTCTCCATGAAATGCATAATAAAACAGCTGCAACAGAGAGCTTTACAATCTTCCGCATCCCATGAAGTTGCCCGAGAGGGCAGCAGAGGACAGGCAAACCTGAAGAATGGGACAGTTGGTTTCTCTAAGGCCCGCAGAGGCATTTTCTCCAGATGGGAGTTCAGGTAAAAAAGAAGCAGCTTTGATAACTTGATAAAGATATTTTTACACTCCAGTTGCATTAACTGTCAGTCTCTTCAAACAAGATGGATTTCTCAGCATTCTGTAAAAATACCCTCAGGAAGCTGAAAGCATCATGTAAGAAGTGCGAGGTGATGGACTGTGTCTCCCAAGGTACTCTGCAGGCTGCCTCATAGTCATTAGTTAACAAAGTTTAGAGGGAAAAAAACCCAACAAACAAACTTCAGGACAGAGAGGAAATTACCTACCCGTTTTATCTCAACTGATAATGCTTTCAATGACCATGAATTTTCACACAGGTTGTTTTTCATAGGTGTCCTAAGGGTCAAGAACCACAAGTTGTGTCCATCCTGGACTGGCAGCAGTGTGTTTTTGCCAGTTACTATCCATCTTACACAGGTCCGGGCTGGGAAACCATCTCCCATTCTATTTTGGTACAAGAAGTCATCTCAGTAAGACACCGCTCTTTAGTGTGTTGGCACTGGCTTTATAGTCTCATGCAGTAATTGCACGTAGATTTTTCGCTGAACTTTCACAAGAGGAATGGCTAGCAAGCACTGAAGAGTTGAACCAAAGCTACACTGGATCACAGACACGCAGCTGACAGCTGCTATGACAGGCTCCAGAATGTAAAATGGCATGTAGGTATCATACCCAAAAGATCTGGGGTGAAAGGGAGAGAAGAATTTCCCTCTGCGCTGTAAAACCAGGAGCTGACAGCAGGTAAGACAGGCCAGCCACTTGCAGCATGTCTGCACTGAGCACTCTGAAAATGTCTCAAGGTAATACTTGCTAAGGTGTGAAAGGCCTCAAGGTCAAAATAGGAAGACCTCACTTTGTCACTGATTGGAAGTACCAAGCTATCCTCTGCTCTTACAGGAGTCAGTAAAGGAATCTGGATCCCAAGAGGGACAAACTGCAAATGACAGACCTCACAACAGAAAAGAGCATCTTTTTTGGTTAAGTGCGTGTTCTCCAGTCATACTTCCTGATGTAATCAGACTGCTGAAGCAGTGGAAAAAAAAAATAATTTTTTTTTTAAACTGTCCCTTCCAGAAAGGCTATGTTCTTGATGTTTATACAAATAATCTGAGAGTAAATGTTCTTACTGTTTGGAATGCAATAGACCAAGTCCATTTATTTTTGTGAAACAAACACAAACTAAGATAAGATGAATTCTGTACCAGCACAACGACTTAAATTCCCTCATTTAAAGCCATAAATGCTGAACATCTTTTAACTCCTGTTTTGGGGAATATCCATACCTTCTCAAAACCCGCTGGCCAGTTCACAACTGCTCACTCTGGACAAGCAGCCAGGCTGACTCCTGGGCAGCTGACCAGCCTAGGAAATCGTGTTGGAGCACAGGTGCTGCCCATGCTTATGTGCTGAGGGCTTCTTGCCTCGGGACTTCTCCACTGCCACCTGGGCTTCCTGCAGTTCCACTACCAAGCCCCAAGACACTGTTAGTGAAGCAATTCTAATATCGCACTCCTTCACTAGGCCACTTCAACTTGCAGCTGCTTGTGCTTACTCTATTCATTTCAAATAGTTACTGGTTTTGATACATACCAACTGTGTTTACTTAAAAATAGCTGTTCCCATATTAAGGCTATTTGTATAGTGTTTCTCCTTTCACTGTAAGAGGTAGGTAGAACAAGTGTTGTCTCCTTAAAATAATTGTTTTCAAACTAATCATAAAAGGTAGCCAATGTTTAACTTTCCTACAAACTATTTTATTAATGTTTCCCTGGTTGTCATCCTTTTATAAGTCCTGTTTCTGAGGTAAAGAATGCTCGAAAAAACCAGCATTTGAAATTTTTGTTTATGTACTCCTAATTATTCAACTCAAAACCCAAAATTTAATTAACTGAAATTTAATTTACTTCAAGTTTAATTAGCTGAAGAACAGAGCAGAAAGCGTTTCCTTTCCTCTTGCACCTCTGGTTCATTGTATATTGCCAAGCAGAAACAAATAACTAAGAATAGCTAAACCAAATAGAAAAACTCAGTGCAGTACTGGAGCAATACAACAGAACTGACTTGGCACAAGCAAGCTCCTCGAAAAAGGAGAAGGGAATGTTTCAGGCAAGCTCAGGTCTGCAGAACTACTCTGACTGAACTCCATCGTTAACCTGTTTACATCAGCAATTGTCATTACAGTCAGGATCCTCTAGATTTTCCTCAGTTCTAAGCAGCAAATAAGCCCACTTTTGCACCATGTTAAGGCCTGTTCTGTTCGTCGTGGCTTTTCCATGTTACCTCAGTCAGCATAGACTGTATCTGAGGCTGCCTGAATTAAGACAAAGTAAGATTCTTCATAACAATGGTAATTCTTTCATCGACAATGAAATAGTTATGAATCTGCATATTAAGTTAGGTAAATGAATTCAGAGCAACAAGAAGGAAGACCACAATAAATCTGTCCCTTGTTCCATCACTCAAAGTCGAGAGGAACTTTGCCAACATCCAGGAGCCAGGCATGGGGTGCATCCTGGAAACCACATGGCAATATATTGAGATTATAGTCCATTTGTGCCTTTCTAGATATAATGAATTGACTCTAAATCTGCTCTGGACATATGCACTGCCAAAGAAAAAAGTAGTAGTCCCTCCAGATTGTATTTCTGTCAGCGTGGTGGCAGCAGCAGAGTACAAAGCAGCTGTGGTCACTGTTCTACTTGAGCAGGCGAGGACCATAGCTGCTTTATGTTCAGAGCTGGGCACTGCTGGGCGGTACTGGGCATGAGCAGAGGCAGATGGCAGTGTCAGATTAACCAGGAATATAGACAAAAAGGCAACCTAGAACTGCGCAGGAATGTAAGACTTCAGAGGTTTACAATTTAAAGATATACATGGCAGCGCTTTTCTAAGTTAGATCATTAACATTCAATCCTCGTGTCACTCTCCAGGGCCATGTTGGAAGAACGCTGTATTAAAGGAAAACAGTTTCACACATCTCTGACAAAAACCTAAGTCTCTCAGAGGGAGAACCCTCAGAAGAATTAAGCTGAAGCAGAAAACAAAGCAGGACATTTCCCAAATATTTTGGTAGCAGGCAGGATGTGACCACACCTTACACGAGGCAGAGAAGCCAATAAGGCTGATCTACCCTTACACCCACCTAGTCTGTCATTAATTGGGAAATAGTTTTGTTCTGATTTTACATTTCAGCATTCAGAAAGCTGCTGGATAATGAGGCCTGTGATCTATGTTGGAAGGTATTGCATGTTATTTATGAATATTTTTATTATTGTTTCATCTAGAAACACTATGGTGCTAAGCAACATATGAACAGAGGAACAGATTATCCATTTTATGTTAGATTGCAAGGCCTTGAGGCAACCCTATCTTAACTAAAAATTAATATACATTCAAGAACTGTTATTTGTGTAAATAGCCAGCTATGCTGGCTTACATCATTTAGTTTGTATTTACTCATTCATGAGACATGTTTTCAAACGAAACTGAACTGTGTGTAAGCAGTAGCTTAGGAAGAAAAACTTTCTTTTTGCCACAAACATTATATACTCTGCCTTTAAATTACAACCAATATTAGAAAAGACAAACAAAAACCCAGCACGCCACACACAAACACACACATTCCCCAGTTTTGGCTGCCACTTACAACAGGCTCATGAAATGTAAATACAGCAGTTTGTTCTCAGACTTCATGGTTCAGACTGAATGTATGCATTGTGTAACGTAACGGATTAAGGAGTCACCTGGGTATCCCACAGGCTGGGAATGTGCATTTGCAAGAAATGATGAGTTCAGCGTGAGATCAAAGGAATTTTATTTTATTAATTAATATCCCAGTGCATAGCTGCCACAGTGGTCCTGTCTGATTGAAGCAAGATGGCGGAAGATAAAAGCTAAAGGCCTCGGACAACATCCCGCTTGCACCATTCTGATTCAGGCTAGGCAGCACCACAGCACACAATTCCCCAGAAACCAGAGCAATCTCCTGCTTGCAAAGGCCATGCTCAGTTTCCAGGGAGGCACCTGTGAAAGCTCCATAATGCCCTAATTTCCCAAGGTAAGCTACCAAGACACAACTGTGGAGCAAAACTAGCAGAGTACCCCTCATGATGCCTTTGCGAGGCAAAAGAAGAGATTTGGGAAAGCGCTTTTCTGGGGTAGGGTACGCTCTGCTGCTCTGAGCACCCTACCTGCAAGCTCATGCAACGCTGCACAAAAGCCGCAAGGATGGCTTCAACAACTTGCCATCTTCCCCACACAGAGAGGCATTGCCCAGTTCTGTGTCATCCTATTCAGAACTCCACTCTGGGGGTCTGCGCACCACGCTGAGGATGTAAGGTACTGTGAGAAATTTTTTCAGAAATAATATTCGCTATCTAGATTTTAAGTGTGATTTGTTAAGTTGCAAATATCAACATTTTTTGATCTCTAAACTAGGTACTACTATTATCTAACATTTGTACTGAGTATCACTTTGCTTATTCTTAGAAGCGACTAATTTGGCAACAAAGGAATGGTAGTATTATTTCCAGGTATGTACACAACGTGGTTAATGCATCTGGTAACAGTCTGCAGCAG